CCAAGAGGGTCCATATAGACTACTATTATAGGCTATGGGGTTTAGGGTTCATCTATACTACTATTATAGGGTTTGGGGTTTAGGTTTCATATATACTACTGTTATAGATCTATCGTCCTTTGTTTCACTCTTCGTAGACAAGCTTTCGCCCACATCACCGCGAAACCTTATTCTAATTACTGAGGCCGTTTAGTCTTACCGGCCCTAAACCCTAAACCCCAAACCCCTAAACCCTAGACACCTAAACCCAAAAAACCCTAAACCCGAAACCCCTAGACACCTAAACCCTAAACACATAAACCCTAAATCCTAAACCCTAAACCCCAAAAAACCCTAAACCCTAAACACCTCAACCCTAAACCCTAAACCCTAAACACCTAAACCCTAAACCCTGCCAAGGCTCCATCACCTGGTGGAGGGCTCTGCAGCGCGAGGGCCTCAGCGAGGAGTTTCGAGCCAAGTCCAGGCATTCCGGCGGCATGCCGGTGTCTTAGTCTTAGTGGCTGAGTAGGTAACCTTTAAGCTTTTGGGGTTTATACAATCCTACCATTTTTGAAAAGGCTAACCTTTTTTTTCGGCTAGGGTACTCGGCCCCTAAGTAGTGGTAGTAGTAGTAGTAGTAGTAGTAGTAGTAGTAGAGTAGGTATGCTTTCAACTTCTTGGGGTGCTATGACCCCTTGATAATCCCAAAGGTTAACCTCTAGTTCCCCATGCCTGCTTGACAAGTAGGGCTTTTTTACGCCGGTTGAGGGTTTAGGGTTTATGCTTTGATCTTACAGCCCAGGCCCATTCTAGGTAGGCCTGTGTCACATGTTCGATTTTCACTTCTTGGGCCTTTAAGGATGCTGTTTACGAGCAGATTTCAAAGGCTTTAAACGGCCAACCTGGGATTTGGCCACTGTTGCGGGTTTAGGGTTTAGGGTTTAGGGTTTAGGGTTTCAGGCCAATGCGCCTGAGCAGCTTCGTGATTACCAGCACGGCCAGGATGTAGATTTAGATTCCTTCCTAAACCCTAAACCCTAAACCCTAGATTCCTTCCGGTTGTACGTAGCTTGGGTACTATGGACTGTCGACAACAGGGAGCCACGACTCCACGACTGAGACCGTACAGTTTAGAGTTTAGGGTTTAGGGTTTAGGGTTTAGGGTTTCAGGGTTTAGGGTTTAGGGTTTAGGGTTTAGGGTTTAGGGTTGTGTGTGTGTGTGAGATGACCTGCGAAGGCCCTCCATCCAAACCTTAACCGTCCAAATTGCACGGAGACTTGGGCTGTTGGGTTTAGGACATTTTCAAGTGGCAGGTCGGGTTCGCGGCTCCTTTCAGCCATCGGTCTTCTTCTTTGTTTTTCGTAGGGTCTGAGGTTTAGTGGAGATTTCTTGTAGCGTATTGTGGGAAGAAGCAGCCGACGGTTGATGACAATGGATCCTTGCTACAGCAAGCTCCCCTTTCGAAGCAACCTCTGTCTGGTTATATCCAACACCATGTTTTCTAAAGTCTTTAAGATCGCTACCTAGAAGCACGGGGACATGACCGGGATCAGGCGAAAGATCAATAACACGGACGCACTCCCACTCCAAGTCCAGTACCCGCTCTCTGGGCCGAGTGTCCCCTAAACCCTAAACCCGGCTGCTACACCCGAAACTCAGTTCCTGCACCAAGGCTTGTTTGGGTTTCCACCCCTCAATCATACGGCCGAAGCCTCTAATGTAGGGGCTTTAATAATTAGAATAGGGCTTTGGGGCCCATTATATTTTAATTACGAAAGGAACCCCCCAAAACCCTCTTCTAACCATTAAGGCCCCTACATTAAGTGCTTGCTGCTAGATTGCCCTGATTCGACAACCTCTGGACTCCAAACCAACTTCGTCAACCCGGCTTTGCAATTTTCAGACAAGCAGCCTCTCGACGTACCATCAGACTATCGGCGTTTTAGACGCCGGGGTCTCAGACAGTTTGAGGTCCAAAGGGGTGGTTGTCAAAATTAGGGTCCTTTTTGGGTCCTTATTATAATACGGCACCTATTATTTAGGGTACCCCAAAAGGGACCATAATTTTGACAACTGCCCATATGTTTTCATGCCTGAGCTCAGTTGCTGTCAAGTGCCCTGAGGAGTTCTCGGAATCTGGGATTTTTAGGGTTTAGGGTTTAGGGTTTATAGGGTTTAGGGTTTAGGGTTTAGGGTTATTTGCTGTTTAGGGTGCTCGTTTCGGGCTTCTTGCTCGAAGGCACATGGGTCTCGGAAGATGTTTTAACCTTTGCAAGCACTACAGTAGGTCTTTCCTTTTGACGAGGATTCTGCTGTACTGCTGTAGCTGTCGATAGTCTTATTGCACATGACATGATGTATGTTTTTTTAGCAGAGTTAAGCTCACCTCCTAGACCGAAGTTGGCGGACGCTTGATCTGCGAATGGCCCTGGTGACACAGCACTGATGTGAGCACCATTAGCATCATGCTAGCCAGTGAGTTAGTATGTCAGGTTGTATTTAGGAGAAGAAAACCATCTCAGGGGACTTATAGCCCCATTTGCAACCCGACTTACTAAGTCGCCTGAGCCCTTAGGCAGATGGTTTGCGGGACATCCAGACATATCCTGCCCCTCGGTCCACCTGCGCACTCACATGTTGTGGGCGCGCAGCAGAGTGCCATGGCGTTTTGCTCCGGCGGTAACTATCAATGGGCCTTGGTGGTGAGCAAGCTGGATGGAAGCGAGCTTTTTTTTGAAAGTATCCTATGCTACCCGAGCTCTGGACTTGAAGATGTTGGTTGCCGCCAAGAGTCAAGAGAACTATAGCCATGTGGCTTCGTGCGCTGGTATGGGTTTAGGGTTTGGGTTTAGGGGAATCTCCAGGATCAGGCATTTGTCGCAACTGAGCTATGCTCAATTTCAGTGTTCATGCCAGAACCTACTTGGAAGGCCGTCGGTTTGGT